GCGTGACTCTACAAAAACAAGCAAAAGAACCAGAAAGGTGTTTCTAGTAGACCTGAAGTGTGTTTATCTTCTTAAGGGGCCTTGGTACTGTACAGCAGTTCTAAATACGTGACATTTTGTTTTATTTATTGATTACTAGCATTATGACTGGATGTGTGTATGTGCACGCGTGTGTGTGGCCTGGCACACTCTGCACAGTCAGTCCTCTCCTACCTTTACATGGGTTCCGGGGATCAAACAGGTCACCAGGCTAGCATGGCAAGTGCCCTACCCATGGAGCCGTCTCACTGGCCCATGTGTGACATCTTAAAAAGCAACAGAAAAGTCGCAAGTAAGATAAAGGCTTAGGTCAGAAAGTTGCTGCCAGATTTGTCTGTGGCCACCCACCCATTCTCAGATCTATCCGGATATGAATGCGGCCATGGCCAAGAAGAATGTGACACCGGGCTCTGCCACCTACACCCAGCTGTTGGTGGCACATACTTACGTTCCCAGAGAACTCACAGCCCCAGACCCTCTGGACCTAACCCTCAAAGGCAGAACCCTACAGAGGGGTGGTGGTTCAGCCTATGACCAGTAGGGGTCCTGCTGGGCTCTGCCAGGGCTCTCTGCCACCTCCTCTCACCACTGCCAGCCATGCCTCATCTGCTCTGATTTCAATTCTCTCTGTCCTTCAGGGTTCCTACCTGAAGGCATCCTTGTGCCTAGGGCTGTTTCTAACTGTGGAGGGGCTTTTGTTCATGACCTGTTAAAGCAGAATATCCAGAGCGAGGCAGAAGGAAGCACGCACTCCATGTCAAGGTCTGTGGTAGACGCCACTGTTCATTTGAACCCTTGCATCCCGAAACTCGAGGCCACGTAGAAGAGACCTTTCAGAATGGCCGAGGTATCCCTTTCTTTTTGGTCAGAGTTCTATTACTCCCATCAGCGCTGGTAACCATTAACTCAGCTTCCCACCATGAGTCAGTGTAGTGGGGCTGCATCCAGGAAGATTAGGTTGAGAAGGCAGGGTGACCCAAGTCCAGTCTCACAATGACCTCTGGGAGAAACAAATTCAGTCAGGAATCTCCAGGGTCACATGGCTGCCAAAAGTGGGTATGTAAACCCAGGGTGGATTTAAAAGAACCAGGCGAAAAAGCCAGCACCCACTTCTACACTGCTGGACCGGAGCTAGGGGCTGTTATGTTTCCTATCTGCCAGGGCACATCACTAGCGTGGGTTATAGGTGCTAGCATCCAGGGTGGTGCACATTGGCTACCTAGCTGCCAGAGATACCAGTGGTGCCTGGCACAGATACTCCTAAGACCAAAGGCTACCGGGGCCATTAAATGGAGCAGATTGTCAGGTGTCTCGGCAGGGGCCGGAACCAGCCACCCCTTGCGAAGTTTGCACCTCAGTGTGCCCCGTGAGACTCCTGCTGAGGAGTGACCTGTGGCAGCTGTGCTGTCTGGACGTCACACTTTAAGAAAGGAACACAGGCCAAGAAAAGACCACTCAGGAGGGAATTACACAGATGGACTAAAAGGTGGCAAGCAGATGGGTACCGGATGGCATGGTGTCCAGAGAGGTGACAGTGTGAATACAGAGGTGGACTCACAACCAAGGGTGGCCTTTACAGGAGAAAACGTTCCCGCCCACTATGAAGAAGGACTGTATGCCGAGCTGTCCAAAGACACAAGGCTTGCTGGGAGAGGTGATGACCTTCCCTTCCATGGATACATTCAACGGCACCAAAGCGGAAGGTCACACATCAAGGATGATAGGATTCGCCCTCAGGGATAATTGGAGCACGAAGCTCTAGGCAACTGAGACCCAAGGGAACTGGTCAGGCCAGTGATTTTCCCTACGACCTGTGTCTGATCCTTAGGACAGGTCACCCTGTGCCAGCCCCCCCCCCTTTGCATCTGCTCTCCCTCTGGACCTCCATGATATCCCACCCTGGGAATGTAATCCACTCTGATTCAGCTCTGCTGCCCCTCCCACACTTTGAAATAACTCTTCCCTTCCCCACATAGTCAAGAATGTCCCTGTAGGAGGTTTTGTTTCCTCCTCAATGAATCAAGTGCAACTAACACCCCACTCTCCTTGAAGGATAAATCTTTGGTAGAAATATTTTAATTTCCTTTGGGGTTGTTTTTATATAAGAAAATTTCAGAACTCTCTAAATGCTACTTTGGAGACAGGTTGTTCTATTTTGTATTTTATGTGCATGAATATTTTGCCTGTGTGCAGTGCCTGCTGAGGCCAGAAGAGGGTGCCACATCCTCTCTAGCTGAAGCTAGACTATCAGGCACTGCCATGTGGATGCTCCCCTGGGAGCATCTGGGTCCTTTGGAAGAGCAACTAATTCTCATAATCACTGAGCCGTCTTTCTAGGCCCTGTTTTTTTGTTGTTTTTTGTTTTGTTCTCTCTCTCTCTCTCTCTCTCTCTCTCTCTCTCTCTCTCTCTCTTCCTCTCTCTTTCCCTTTCTCCCCCGCTCCTGTGTGTGTGTGTGTGTGTGTGTGTGTGTGTGTGTTTTAATGAATCACTTGCTTTAACAAACAGAGGCAGGAAGATAAATGAGCAGTTTCACTATATCCCTCAGCAAGGCCTTAGTACAGCCTGGAAATTCTGCCGACCAGTAATTTCTATAGATTCCCGAGGGAAAGTGGGCAGGAGGGGGAAACCACAGGACCGAATGTGCTGAGTTCCCGAGGCCTGGAGAATGGGGTATCCTAGCCTCCTGGGAATAGAGCATCTAAAAGACAAACATGTCTAGAAGCCTGGGTAAAAGCCAGTTCCCCTGGCGGCAGGCATGGTCTGCAGAGGGAACACAGTTCTTCCTGAATGTGTAGCACTTTTGCCATAGATGAAAGTGGATTCTCCTTGGGCAAGGGTTGCGCTTGCATGCAACAAAGCAGTAACCATGCAGTCCTGACAGGAAATTGGACAGAAGCAGCCATCTAAGATGGGTAATGTGTGCCAATGCAAACAGTGGCGTGGTTCCTGCCAGATTCCCAGGCAACTTTCTGTTTGAGCCATTGACACGGAATTTCTGATGTTGTAACATTCAAGGACTTGAACAAATAAAAAGTAAATTAGAATGAATTAAAAAATAAAGAGGGCAGAAAGACACTTCTCTCTAAAGTCTGTCACACGGCGACGACGGAGACCTGAAGTGCTATTTGTAGCTGAGCCTCTTGCTCTGGATTCCATACAAATGGGTTTTAGAAGTGATCCACAACTAACCACTGGGTTGAGCTCCCGGAGTACAAGGGAAGAGAGGGAGGGGCAATAACATGAACAAAGGCGTCAAGACCACGAATCAGCTGACCTGAGCTAGTGGGAGCTCACTGACTCTGCACTGACAACTGGGGAACCTGCATAGGACTGAACCAGGCAACCTGAGTGCAGGGGACAATGGTGTGGCTTGGGCACTATGTGGAGCCACAGGCAGTGGGTACAGGATCTAACCCTAATGCATGAACTGACTTTGTGGAGACCATTCTCTATGGAGAGATACCTTGCTCAACATAGGCATGGTGTGTGTGTGTGTGTGTGTGTGTGTGTGTGTGTGTGTGCTTGGTCCTGCCTCAACGAGGCGATAGGACAGATTTAGTTGACTTTCCAAGGGAGGCCTTACTCTCTCTGAGCAGTGGGTTGGGGGAAGGTGGGGTGAGCGGGAGGAGAGGAGAGAGGGGGAACTGGGATTAGTACGTAAAAAATAAACAAACAAATTTTTAAAAGGAGAAAATTCTCAATATCTGTTCTATCTTTTTAAGGTTTATTTATTTATTTATCATGCATACAGCGCTTTGCCTGCATGTATGCCTGCAGGCCAGAAGAGAGCATCAGGTCTCATTACAGATGGTTGTGAGCTGCCATGTGGTTGCTGGGAATTAAACTCAGGACCTCTGGAGGAGCAGTCAGTGCTCTTAACTGCTGAGCCATCTCTCCAGCCCTCAATGTCTGTTCTAAAGACATGTATGAGCATAGGAAAGACCAAACATCTTGCTATAGAGACTCAGCATTTAACCTGACTGTTGGCTCACTTTCCTCAAATATGACCAGGAGAAGTTTATCTCCTTTGATAGCAGCAGAGGCCACGGAAATCCCCTGGAACAGGCCAGATCTGCGGAGTGTGGCAACACACACCTAGACCCAGCATGCACAGGCTAAAGGGGGAGGACCCTTGAAGCAAGGAATTGGAAACCAGCCTGGGCAACATGGTAAGATGGTGTCTCCCGAATCCCAAATATTTGTTTGTTTAGTCCGTGCTTATTTAATAATTCTTCTCAATCACACAGAAGTTCAGGGATGCCTAGGGTATTCTCTTAAAGTGTAAATGTAAAAAGATCAAAGAAACGAGTCACACAACTCTTGCAAGCTTCTGACCAAAAATGCTAATCTGTATTTAATCACAACACCACAATGACACACACACAAACCCTACACCGGGACAGACATTCTTCAGGACAGGTGGCGAGTGGTCCTCCAGTATCAAGATCATGACTAAGGAGACAAAGACTTGCTGCTGATGACAGCAGACTAAGGAGACGCATGAATTAAATGCAATGGCGGTGGCAGGAGCTAAATCATAGATTGTGGGTCACTCGGCGGAGGCTAGACAAGGTCTGTAGCTTGGCGACCAGTATCGTTTCCGCGGCACTACGATTTTATGTGATGCAAACGGCTAAGGAAGTTGAGTGCGGAGGAAGCTGGGTGTCCTTTGTTTTTGCAATTTTTATGAAATTCTGAAAGCATTTCAAATAAAGGGTTTATTTCTTAATTTTTGCAGCCATTGGGGATCCTGGGCATACCAGGTGAGTGCTCTACCCCTGAGCTACAACCCCAGCACATCAAAGGGGTTTACAAGTCAGGGAGCTCTCTGCCCTGGGAGTCCTGGGAAGGCCTGGCTTCTGGGCACTCCCTGAGGGCCGGCAGGTGCTGAGGACAGTCAGGACCCACCTGTGAAAAGCGTGGTCCTCGAGGCCACCCACCTCTTCCTTTAGTGGCTTACCTTGTCACATTCTCTCTGTCACAGACACTTAGAGTTTTTCCTGGGAGCTGAGACAGGGGTCTGAGACGGGCAGCCAGCATCATGTCGGCAAGCAGTGGGGCGATTTGCTTTCTTCCGGTGGTTCTGAAACACAAAATGCATGCTCAACCTCTCGCACTCAGAAGTTTAGTCAGGAAAAGTCGCTTTCTGACTAACACGGCACTGCTCAAGCTAAAGCCTCAGAAGATGGAAAATGCGGAGCCAAGGTGTACCAAGAGCTCATAGGACAACCATGGATGAGTGGTCACCTATGTGTGACAGACAACATTGAACTAGACCAGTGATTCCCCCAGGCAGACTGTACAGAAACTACTGGGGGAACTGACTTGGGGACATAATCAGGGGAAAGAATATCTAACCTTGTGACAAGGCCAAATGACCTCATCTGTAAAGTTCATGCTCAAGAACTGAGCAATTGAGTTTTGTTGTTGTTTTTCGAGACGGGCTCTCTCTGTATAGCCCCGGCTGTCCTGGAATCACTCTGTAAAGTAGGCTGGCCTTGAACTCACAGAGATCCGCCTGCCTCTGCCTCCGGAGTGCTGGAATTGAAGGTGTGCACCACCACTGCCACAAAAGGTATAATGTTCTAAGTCATTTTAGAATTTTGTGTTGGCTCACTTCTGTAGCTGTCCTCAGCTGTATGTGACCTGCAGGTCACAAGTCTGACACACCTATTGGGAAGTCCTCTGGGAGAGCAGCCATCAGCTGGGGCCGGCCTAACTCAGAAAGCCCTGTTCCCTTGTCCAGGTTGCTGACATCTTGTGAAACATCCATCGGTGGTGATCAGGACATGGGCCTTCACCCACAGTGCGTCTCCCTCCTCTGCGGGTGGCAGGTGCCATCCCGCTCCATGTACCACTTGGCTCAGGACTCCACCTCCCTCTCACCCCAGCAAACTGGAGGCTCTGAATTAAGGCGAGACTCTTCACATTAAAGCACACACACACACAATCCACACAGGGTAGTACATGCCTGTACTACCTAGCACTTGGGAGGCTGAGGCAGGAGGATTGCACCTTGGAAGTCAGCCTAGACTATAAAGCAAGTTCCCCACCAGCCTGGGCTATAAGACATCACCAACAACAAAACCTGCACACAGAAAAAAACGAAGACCACACATACACTCCCTTGTCCTTACCCATTTTAGGTTAAGTCAAACTGCTACAACTAGGTCATATGTCACTTGGTGTCGCCTAAGGCCTTCCCAGCACCATGATGATTAGGTGTCATGTATACAAACCAGACCCAGACCGGGTCTTGCGCTATGGCGACCGGGCTTGCACTATGGCAACTGACTAATCAACCAAAGCAATGCTCAGCACAGGGGCAGCTGGGGCCGTTTAGCTGCTTTAATCCTCAGACAACGAAGAGTAGCAGAGGTCTCCTCAGCTTGCGCTATGCTTCCATTGGTGCCTGTGGCTCAGCATGTGTGTTAGCGCCTGCTCTGGCGCAGTAACAACTTCTGGCCAAAGAATAGGAGGAGAGGCTGGGAGGATCCACACGGCTGGAGCCCAGGTGATCAGACCTGGATGCAGATGTCTTTCTTCCTGGCCTCTCCTTTATGAAACGACTGTAGCTTGCCACATCTTGTTAATAATAAGATCTCAGCAGGGAGAAATCTCTCCCTAGGCCACCCCAAACGCAACTGACGGTCAGCCATGAGGCCAGTACATTAGTCAATTTTCTATGATAATTAATAAAGTACCTGATACCGAGTAACTTTATAAAGCCGACAGGTTAATTTTTGGCCCACATTTTTATTCCAAACTTAAAGGTGCACATTAGGGACTAGCTGGCAGAGTCCCGGGTTTCACGATACATCAAGACATCATAAGTCAGTAGTCAGTAGCAGGAACTAACTACACATCTTCTGTCTTTCCTTCCTTCTTTCCTTCCTTCCTTCCTTCCTTCCTTCCTTCCTTCCTTCCTTCCTTCCTTCCTTCCTTCCTTCCTTTTGAGACAGGGTCTCACTATGTAGCCTTGGCTGGCCTGGAACTCAAGATGTAGACCAGGCTGGCCTCAAACTCATAAAGATCTGCCTGCCTCTATGAATGCTGGGATTAAAGGCATGCGCCACCACACCTGGCACACAGACTTTTTATAGAGCCATCAAGATTCAACTAGGGAGCTCCACCCTGATGGTATTAGCTAATCTGGATCAGCTCCCAAAGGCCCTTCCTCTGAAGGCAAAAAATAGTTCACTTAAGATCTGGAAAGCTGGCTCAGTGGTAAAATCACTGGCTGCTCTTTCAGAGGACCCAGGTTCAACTCCCAGCACTCACATGGCAGCTCTCAGTCATCTCTAACTCCAGTTCTAAAGAATCCCGCACCCTCTTCTGATCTCTTCTGGCACCAGGAATGCATGTGGTGCAGGGATATGCATGCAGGCAAAGACACTCATACACAAAACAAAAAAAAAAAGTTAGAAAACAAAATGTTTACTAATTTTCATAGTGAAAAAGGATAGCTGGTTAAATTTCAACCCTTCAAACTTTACAACTCGAGTTAAGGCTCAGACCATATCTAGATCATGGGAGCCTTATGCTAGTCAACAAGCCTGCCTAGACAATGCTCAGGAGGCAGGCAGAGGTGTTTAGCTGTTGAATTCCCAGGACAGGCAGACAGGGCCCCTTTGACTTGTGTTAGTACTGCTCTTGAATTTGATGGTGGTGGTTCTTCTGTACTCTCCTTTCTGAGAACTTCCGGCTAGAAAGATCTTTCTAACAGCCAGAGGCAAATCCTGCCTTGGCCTCGCTTACCTACGCCTTCTCTGCTGGCCTCTAACTGCCTTTCTACACAGCCTTAATCTGCTGGCTTTCCAACTTTGTCTCTTGCATGTCTGGGGAGGCGGCTCTCTCTAGTCTCAGAGCCCTTGGCCATTGCTCTCCCTCTTCCTGGGTGATTGAGGCTGGGAGGGCTTTTCTGTCCCTTCAGTCTTTGGAGTGGCTGCTCTTCATTACCTATTGTGATTTGAATATGGTTGCCTCCTAGACAACTCACATTGAAATGGAGGGGAGAAAAGGCTAGAGATGGAATCTAGATCTTCACACATTTAAGCCAAGTCACTAAGACTAATATCTGACTGTCACTGGGGCAATGACATGGGGTAATTAGGGACTAGACACAGTGGAAGGAGGGTCAGGGGTTCAAAATCACCTTCAGCTACAGAGAAAACTCAACGCCAACTTGAGTTTCATGAGATTATATAAGAAAACGAGACCAAAACTAAAACAAAGAGGTAACTAGGAGCCAGGCGTGGTCATACCTACATTCTCAACACTTGGGAAATCAAGGCAGGAGGAACACACATTGGAGCAAGCAGCCTTGACCTCACATGAAGCTCTTCTGGTGCAGGAGAATTGTCTGTACTCTGTCAATCATGTATTTTAATTAAACGCTGATTGACCAGGCAGGAAGTATAGGTGGGTCAACCAGACAGGAAGTAGAGGTGGGGCGATGAGAACAGGAATATTCTGGGAAGCAGGAAGCTCCCTCTGCCATTCCTGCCCAGATCACCAAAGAGGCAACATGTGAGCTGTCACACTGAGAAAGGTACTGAGCCGTGTGCTAACATAGATAACGATAATGGATTAATATAAGTTACAAGGACTAATAAGAAGCCTGACCTAATGGGCCAATCAGTTTATAATCTTATGGAGTCCTGTGTGTGATTTTCTCTTTGGGGCATGCTGGCTATGGGGTACAGGGTGGGACAGATACCCCAACAAGCAGGCCCCCTTCATTCTACACTCTTCCTGTCTTTACACAACAAAAAAAAAAGTGGTTTAGTAATTAGGGACCATTAGTGCTGGTCCCCAGGAGACGTCACTCTCCGGGGCTGGATGAATTACCCTAAGAACAGGCTGTTCTGGAAGAACCCTTCTGCTACGTTCTGCCACGTTCAAACCAGCTCCCACCTCACCCCACCTCTGTTGGGCTATCAACAGCATGGCGCCCTCACTGGAAGCTGAGCATCAGCCCTAAGCTTTGGACTTCTCAGAATCACAGTCAAACTGAACCTCTTGTCTTGAAAAGTATCAGCCTCAGGTATTCTGTTAGAGCCACAAAACCTTGCAAAGTCACCCCCCCCTTTTTAGAGAGCTCCCAAGCAATGCACAGCATGACCCTGTAGGCCCATTGTCTTTAATGCCCCTGCTAAGCTGTTTATTTACTTAATCTCCCTCTATGAGACCAGAGGACCTGCCCATCCTGTTGGTCACTTTCAGTAACAATCAGTGCCCAAGACAACCAGAGGAGGCACCAAGCTTGCCTCTGTTGAGGCTGAATGGAGATTAACCAAGGAGCAACCTTCCTTGTGGGTAAGAAGGCACCATGTGGCCCATAATGAAGTCACTGTGGCAGGTCCCTGCAGGCAGCAGCAGAACAGAGCCCAACTTGGTCCCTGTGGAAGATCCAAGCCAGAAACTTCATTCTCTACAGGAAGCCATGTGCTGAACAGCTGGCTGAACACCTGCATCTCCACTTCCTCCCACCACAACCGAAGCCTGCTCACTGTCCTGGGAGACTTCAAATGCCCGTCCGCAATTAAAGCCCTTCCCCAGCCCTTGGCTCAATGCCTGCACAAGAAAAATGCCTCAACAGAGTCTCCAAATAGAGGGTTGCTTTCAACTTAGTTTTCCTTAGAGTCAGCAAAATGGGAAGTGTGACAGTCAAAATAGCTTAAAGCGCATAAAAACTCAGGCCTTTGAAGTATGCCCATTTACAATACTGTCTCTCATACACAGGGTGGTAGGCGGGGCCTCATACTAAGCAAGTGCTTTGCCGCTGAACTCCACCCCCAGCCTGGACTAGGTTTATGGAACACAGAGCTATCATGGCATACCTAAGGACTTTCCCCCAGTTGCTGTTGCTGTCTTAATACCACCAGCTGGAATTCACGCTCTGTAAAAGAACAGGAAGTTCTCTACCTTCAGGTTTGGGAACAGAAATGGTGATGGGAAGCAGGTGGTTCCAGAAAAAGGAAGGTCTCATACAGCCTGGGGGTTCTGTTGGCCTTGAAACTCAAGCACCACTGTAACTCAAGACCACTGCACAAGGGTCTGACCTGGGGGGACCAAATCCAT